ACTTCCTTAGTAGAAAATGAACACTCAGGGAGTCTGAACCAGCTCAGTGCATTACAGCCATCCCATGCAATGCAATGACTAGCACACCTGGTGGGCAATTGCAGGTGTGGGGAGAAGTGTTTCCCTGTCATATGTTTTCTCCTGCTGAAGCCATTCCTCAGCAGATGCCTTTCTACCTGCTCAGTTATGATTGCAAATAGACACATTCTGGCCTTCACTGAGCTTTAGTAATGGTTTGAGATCTATCAGCATACAGAGCCAGATTGTTGTTTAGCTTTGTTAAACATTTTCTCAGATAGCAATACAAACTTAAGAAGTGTTGCTACGTTAGGTCATCATGGAAGCAGAATTAATGGTTACCCATTTTTGGAAGGAGCTATGAAAAAACATTAATATAAAAAGGGTTGGGATATGGCTTTAGTTGAAATGTTGACACATAAAATAACACTGGCTAAGTGGAGTCAAAAGAGGAATAATTTTGGATCAGAATGGTTTGCTTTTGCAATGCGTGTGAATAAGAAAATTAATGATGTAATTCTGCCATCTCTTTACGCTGCTTGGTGGAATCCTAGATGTTTATATTTGCTGTAGTAACATTAATAATAATAGCAGCATCTGTTATCTTTCTACTGTGTTTCATAGAGAGTAATTCTTGTGTGATTTTTGCTGTGCCGATTAGTCTCTGGAACTGAGTTTTATTTGCAATTTAAATTATGTTCAGAATTTTATTTATGTTTTGAGTTACATTCTTTGCAGCAGTTCAGGAACTGCCTTTGCTACACTGGTTTCAAAACTTATTTTTCCTCCTTTCTTTAGATAAGAATGGGTGATGGAGGTAATGCTTCAGGAACTTGATATTTGTGGGTTTCTCTAAGGAATTTATCTATTTGAAAGAATTTCTAAACTTCTTAAGGCTTTAAAAGATCAAAACGGTATATGCAACATTCATAGAAACAATAAGGCAGTATAAAAACAGATACAACATTTATAAAAAGCAGTAAAACAATGCTATACATGCAGATTATGGTAGGAATTCAATAATCTTTTAAACCAGGAAGAACCTGGGCAGAGAAAGACATATTTACAAGACGTCTAATCTTCTTTTAATGTTCCCTAATTGTTGTTTCCTCTTTCATTTCAGACACCCATGCCCAGCTCATCCTGCCACAAAGCTTGAAGAAGGCGAACTACAACATCCCCATCTTGGTGACCGACTCGGGGAAACCGCCTCTTATTAACAATACAGAACTGAAAATCCAAGTGTGCTCCTGCACAAAATACAAAATGGACTGCAGCGCATCTTCGACCCTTCACCTCAGCATGGTCCTCTTCTTCATTTCACTCTTCAGTTTATATTGTAAGTTTCCCGAAAATGTCTAACAGTAGAGTTAGTTGACACTTAACCTGGTTCTATTGATTGATGCGTTCATGCCACTGATGGGGATGAAGAAGCAGGGGGAAGTTCATTCAGAGTGGGACCTCTTTCATCAGTATCCCACCCCGCCCCACCCTCGTCATCCAGCCATGATCCTATCTAGCTGAAGTAGCAGCCAGCCATGGGTTGCCATTTTCCCAGAATACTGCAGGGCACCTGCTGTGGGGATGTTTAGAGAGGCAGGAGAGGATATGTTATATTCTATATCTTAGCAGAGTTCCATACATTCCCCCTTTTTAAATTTGCACAGCGGTTAGCTTGTTGCAGGCTCGTCTGAGCCTCACTATATAATATTCCTGATAAGATCCCTTCTTATCCCTCTTAAAAAGAGTAGACAGGTCAATCTTATTAAAGTCACTATAAAAGTAGTTTATGCACGGTATCATCAGTTCACAACTGGATCCCTGAAGGCAGACTTAGGTTACTATGTGGAACTATCCCATAAGGGAGTTAGTCCCAAGTGACTGCAAACAGGCAGTCAATTCTGCTCACATGTAGAAAAGCAAAATGGAGAAGAGGAGCAAAAGAATGAGGTATGCCCCTCTTGCCCAGATTAGGCCATGCCCACATCTAGTCACATGCAAATGAAGTTTGTCCCAGCTCAGGAGGAAACAGGAAGTTTTCTCCTGGCTGGTACAAAGCATGTTGTACTTGACTGCTATGTGTTTCACATCCTACACCTGCCACAGTGTCACTCTCTGGGAAGTTAGCTTCTAGCTGCCTTATGCTCAGCAGAGGCAACAGTTCTGAGGAGCCTTGCTAGGATGCAGTGGCTTCAAAGGGTGCTGTGTGTTGACTCTAGGCCTGCCTCTGATGGATGACAGCTCTTAATTTCAGAGACGCCGACTCGGCTCTAAGTCAAGCAACAGGGAAATGAATGATGCTCATTGAGAGAAGGCATAAATCAGATTATCAACAGAAAAATAACAGTTTTAGACTACAGTGTATATAAAGCAGTGGTGGGGAGCCTGTGGCCCTGAACTCCTATCAGCCCTATCCAGCATGAGCAAGTCTTGAGAATAATGAGAGTTATTAAGTCCCACAACAACCAGAAGGCATCAGATTTCTCTCCCCACCCCCATTCCTAGACTTACATAATTTTTTTTCAGGCTACAACCCTCTCGGTTCCAAGTGCCCTCCTCTCACCCTACCCTATAAAAAGCATCAGTCATAATGGCAGTTTGCACAACCCACTAGGGAAGATAAGAACACCAACAAAGTCAAAATAGTAACAATTTATTTCACAATTATTCAAAATCCAAGTAAAGCAATTAATTCAACATAATTGATTAACTTGATCCAGTGATATGAGTCTGATAGTCTTTACACCTTCAGTGCTCCCCTCTTACTTCTTAGTGCCCCCACTGCACCCCAAGAGGCAGAACACCCACTTTGGGAACCACAGATCTAGACTAAGGTTATCAGATCAGTCCCCATACAAAATCCATTGGAGTTGAAAAGGGTCCCCGGACTCATCGAAAAAAATCTGGTAACCTTAATCTAGACACACAATGGACACATTAAAGCTGCAATATTCCAAGTGTGCATTAGCCATGCCTTCTCACCCCTGACCTACTGAATTTGATCTGCTTGAATGTGAGCAGAACTCTCTGTTCAGTGGGGGACTCTGCTGGTCATGCGGAGATTTCTACTCTTGTACAATTGAACATAAGTACAACAACAACTGCAGGCCTTCTGTTAACAACATAGGATAAGGCCTGCATGCATGGGGGCATGGGTGTACAGGAACTGGGGGCAGGTCTTGTGTGTGCACCCCTGACCCACCTTGCCTTGAAATGTTGTGTGTTCACATGAACACAGTTTGATGTCAGTTAATCTCTTGTCAACCTGATACAGTGGTACCTCGGGTTAAGTACTTAATTCATTCCGGAAGTCCGTTCTTAACCTGAAACTGTTCTTAACCTGAAGCACCACTTTAGCTAATGGGGCCTCCTGCTGCCGCCACGCCGCCGGAGCCCAATTTCTGTTCTTATCCTGAAGCAAAGTTCTTAACCTGAAGCACTATTTCTGGGTTAGCAGAGTGTGTAACCTGAAGCATATGTAACCTGAAGTGTATGTAACCCGAGGTACCACTGTACAACAATAATGGCTACAGATGAAAGCAGCTTTCTGCAGTATTTCCACAGGTTTAACAATTTAGGATTACAGTGGTACCTCGGGTTACATATGCTTCAGGTTACATACACTTCAGGTTACAGACTCTGCTAACCCAGAAATAGTACCTCGGGTTAAGAACTTTGCTTCAAGATAAGAACAGAAATCGTGCAGTGGCAGTGGGAGGCCCCATTAGCTAAAGTGGTGCTTCAGGTTAAGAACAGTTTCAGGTTAAGAACGGACCTCCAGAATGAATTAAGTACTTAACCTGAGGTACCACTGTATATCCAACTAAATTCTACTCAGAATAGACCCTTTGAAATTAATGGACTTAAGTTAGTCATTGGATGCCACTGTTAGTCTCTGCAGAAAGTAACAGAGAAATCAGGTCAAAGAGCCATCTAACCACATCTACTCAGAAATAAGTCCCATTGAATTGAATGGTGCTCACTCTCAGGTAGGTGAGGTTAGAATTGCAGCCCAAGGATTATTTTATGTTATTGCTTTTGGATTTCTTACCCACCTTTCACCACTTTGCTACATTGCCAAACATTTCTTTCTTTCTTTCTTTCTTTCTTTCTTTCTTTCTTTCTTTCTTTCTTTCTTTCTTTCTTTCTCCCCGATTCCACACATGGAGGTGGCTCATTTTAGAACTGCCACAAGCTCTCCCACAGTCCAAATATTTATCAGAATAATCAAAGATTACGGTGCTGTAAAAAAGAAAAGAAAAACATGAGAGACCCTTAATGTGTATTGAGCAGATGAAATATCCCCATCACTGGTGGCAAAATTATGGGCTTAATTTTTGCTCGCACATCCAGAAAGAGGGAGAGGAAAAAAACTTGCTTACTTGCTTGGCTTCGCTCTTGGTGCTTATACTTTATGAGCCACTTCTGCCTGGGAGGTAAATCCCTCTGTCAAGTGAGGATTTTGCTTTCCACGCCAAATTTTGTGCCTGCGTGCATACGTTTGACAATCTGGAATGGAGGATAGATAGCACAATGTGTGAGCCATTCAGTACGACTATGAGCCCTTTGTGAATCTCTTGCCAGAACAAAACATCTTGGTATTATCATTTAAATGAAGCAATTATTATCTAAGCTTCGGATATGTTCAGGAAGTCAGTGGAATGATATGTGGTTGAGGTTTTTATTTTATTTGGGTTGGGGGGCATTGAATGAGTTTAACTGCTCTGAAAAACTGCAGGATGGCAAATAATATTGGAACAGCATATGCAGTGACTGCCCCTAGCAGTAGATGGGATGGATTCCAGCTGCATCAACTATGTGAAGGGAGAAAGCTAGTATTCCACAACTGAGTTCTACTCAGAATAGATCCATCAAACTTAATGGACTTTTAAGCCAGAGCTGCACCATACATTTAAAGCACATCCACTGCATATTTATTTATTTCATAAATAAATTATCAATGAAAAGAATTGACAGTAATAATTGAAGTCTTTTGAAGAGTTAAATAACAATAGACTAGAAACAGATGGAAACTCACATCAACTTTCTAAACACCTGGGTAGGCTTGTCTAAAAAAAAAAGAAGAGTTTTAGCAGGCTCCAAAAAAAAGAGTACAGTGAAGGCGCCTGACTGATCTCAATAGGCAGGAAGTTTCAAAGTATAGCTGCAGCCATATTAAAAGAGTGTGTATAAATGTGGAACAGGTACAATTTTGTATGCCACCTGTAGCAGTTCCGGTTCTGCCGATTGCAATGGTTGAATGGGCATATATGGGGTAAGGCTCTCTTGTAGGTAAACACAGATTTCAAACTAACTTTTCCCCAAAGAATCCTGGGAGATGTAAGTTGCTAAGGATTCTGGGAACTGAAGTTCTGTGAGGAAGAAACTGCTGTTCCCAGTATTCTTAGGGGGAAGTCGTGTGCTTTAAATGTGAGTTGGGTGTGCTTTAAATGTATGGTGTGGATCTGCCCTTAGTCATGTCCATTAATTTCAGTGGGTCTACCCTGAGTAGATCTAACATTGGATACGGACCCTATTTTTGTTTGTTTGTTTTATTGCATTTATATCCTCCCTCCTTCCCCCAAGAGCTTAAGGCATAGTTCTCCTCCTCCCCATTTTATTCTCATAACAACAAAGTAACTTAGGCTAAGAGATAGTGACTGGCCCAAGGCCACCCAGTGAGCTTCATGGCCAAATGGGGTTTTGAACCCTGGTCTCCCAGGTCCAAGTAAAACACTCACCACTACACCACACTGGCCCTCAGGATCAAAATGTGCTCTGGAATTTCTGGGTAGGCAAACCTAGGTCTCTGCAGGTCATCTAGGCTTCTTCAGTGTGTTTATCAGTTCCTACAAAAAAAGCCCAAAAGCAATTAATGACCAAAGTAAATGTTAAAAAATACATAAACATTATTTAAAACAACTTATTTTAGCAGTGGAATATCACGTTATTAACACTTTCAAATTCCCAGAGAAACGAAAACAAAATCTTTTACTGGCATTAAAACAATGACAATGTTATGTTGGTGCTGGGAGGACTTCTCTAGGAAGAAGATTTGTATGGTGAGCTTCGCTGGACTTTTAACATAGACCAGTTGCTGTACAAGAGTGGCTTCAAACTGCATTGGTGGTTCCTCTACGCAGTATGCTGCACATTACTCATGGGTACAGCAATTAATTGCAAGCTGATTTAGGAGCAGAGACATGCTTTCCGCCACACCCTAAAAAGAGACACTCACTTCCTGTATGAAGAATGTCATTCATCATTGACTGTAAAGAGTTCCCAGTTTGTGAACTCCAGCTCACATGCTGGGATTATGTGCAATCAGGACACCCACAGAAAGGGTGTACCCAGAGTTCACACAGCCATTACAGGTGCATGGGACAGCTAAGCTGTGCCCCCCCCCAATATCTCATTGACCATCAGGCCCAGTCCGCCCATTGGGGCAGGGTGAAGCAACCACCTCATGGGCACCCTGCCTGCCCCACCACCTCTGATGGAGAAGAGGTGCTGGGGTCGGTGCTGCTTTCTGGTGACATCTCAGGAGATTTCACTGGACTTCCATGAGATCTCATGGAGTGTGCCAGATTTCATGAGACTTTGGTGAGATCTCACTGGAAATCAATGCCAGTAACGGTGCCACTTCTCCACTGGTGGTGGTGACAGGTCACAGCGAGGTGGCATTTTGCCTCAAGTGGCAAAATGCCAGCCCTGTTGAACACCAACACCCATCAGCTTCTGCTGGCATGGCCAACAGTCAGGGATGATGGGGTCCAGCAGCAGCTTATGGGTCACATGTTAGCTATTCTTGGAACAGGAGTCTTCCTCAACCTGGTGCCATTCAGATTTTTGGAAGCACAACTCCTGCAAGCCCCAGCCAGCATGGAAAAAGATAAGCCACAGATAATAGTGAATACCTTTAGAAATCTATCTTGCCCCCTAGAGAAATTGGGTGAAATGTTCCTTCCAGACTCTAGAAATAGAGCAGAGGATTTCAAGAGCCCATTTGCACATAGTTCTACCATACACAAAAGTTGGTGCCCCACATTTCCTGCCCATTTTTGAATAGATATGAGCACTTTGAAATGAGCTACAGGAGCAAAGAATTGTTCAGTCATTTTGAAGTCAGTCTAAGCAACCTTTAGTGCTCTCCCTTTTCCAAGTTGCCTTGGGGTCTAGCCAGGTCTGCAAACTGCAAAGTTTGACTTTGGCAGCGATAAGTAAAACACTCCATTACCCTGCCGGAAAGTGAGGAGGCAAAGACTGAACTCGATGTGAAGAGACTAAATGAGTTTTGTGGAGTCTGCATTGAAATTAATTTGTCAAACTAAGTGTGAAAGGCCTCAGGTGTGCTGGGAAATGGCGCATCACACAGATGCCAGGACTCTGATTGCAAATAAACCTCAAAGATATCCTTGTATTTAACTATCTATTAATTTCCTCAAGCCTTCCAGTTGAAGTGACAATTCCTGGTAAGACTTCACCCCCTGGTGAGTCCTCTGCATCCACCCGCCCCCTACTTATGATGATGCCACTCTTTCCCATTTCAGCAATGAACCAGAAGACCTAAGATGCAATATAGTCTCATTTCCCCCTCCAGTCTACAAATCCAGAAGACGTAAACCATTAAACATTTCATTAATTGGATGATTTAAATCTATTTGAGTCTCAGCGAGCAGAATTTGGGGGAACAGTTAATGGAGCAAAGCAGCCTCCCCCAACCTAACAGTCTCCAGGTGTCAGATTGCAAATGGCATCGTCACATGGGTCACACACTGACTACGGCTGATGGGACTTGGAGCCTAATAGCTTCTGGAGGGCACTGCGTTGGCTACCCCTGCACAAGAAGTTTCTTAGCAGCCACATGAAGCTTGCTGATCCTATATATTTACCTCCATTGAAATGAATGGATGAAGCCAGGAACTTGTGGATGATTTCACACAAGAAATAAATACATATAGGAAATATGTATTCTATGCATACATATCCACATAAAGAGGAAAAGAGACAATGAATAAATGTGAAAGATAAGTGTATCCATAAGGCATAAATACTTGATCATTCGGAAATATTCCTACTATGTGATCCAGTTGTTGTTTTTTATCAGCTTTTCCTCAGAAGTGAAAGCAGCACTTGAGAAGATTAAACCTTGATGCCTTATGTGGTGTATCTTGAGGAGGAGAGGGGGGAAATGTTTAATATTCCCTGGTTTTGACAGAGCTAAATTACTGGTTTGTAATAGACTGTGTTTCTTTTCTGGGCGGTTTATTAATGTCAGGCGTATGACTGCCGAGTCATTTTCTGAATTGTTTTAAAACAGTCTATAGCTAAAACCAGCCAATAATTCACAGAAGATAATTTACTTGACAAATTTTGGCTGCTGCTCTGCTGGCAGGGAGGCCACAGAAAATCACAATTTCAGTCTGCTCAAGTTTATCAATTTTTTATCTAACCCAATTTATCTCCTTGTCTTCCATGGGATTCAGTATTCAGTGTGTGATATTCCAAACTGCAGCAGTGTTGGAGGACTTTCAGCATTCCAAATTAAAGCTACACCAGCTGATTTCTTATTTGCTGCCAAGGCCGCGTGGTGCTTTCTTTTCTTTCAACTTCCCACCTTCAGTTACATTCCCTGATTGTGTAATATTGTTTCTACAGAGTAGCATTTTCATGATTAGCCACTGGTGACATTGCCAACTCTAGATATATGTGAGAGCTCCCACTATGGATCTCAAGGATCTTCAAAGTCCTAAGGGTTCTCTTGCTGTCAGAAAATACCTAGTGAGCTCTTCACTCAGAGGAGTTTAGCGCCTTTCATATCCTCAGAGTCCTTCTAAATCTACTTGTTTAAGCAGTCTTCCTTCCCCCATTAATCACTATATCACCAAGTGTATAGCCTCTCCTTTTCTTCAGCTAACCCTTTCCCTCCTTGACTCGCCACTGAGGTGGCTAGCCCCAAAATCGCTGCCTTTTCCTTCACAAGAACATAGTAAGAGCCTGCTGCATCAGGCAAGTGGCCCATCGAGTGCCACATCCTCTTCTCACAGTGGCCAACCTGAGACCCGTGGGAAACTTACAAGCAGGACATGAGCACAAGAGCCTTCTCCCCTCCCCTTCCAGCAACTGGAATTCTCAATTATATTTGCACAGGAGGCTTGTTGCTACACATATTCAAACATCCCTTTACCAGGTAAAGAAAAATTATCACAGTTCAAGGGCACATTCCAATTAGCCAAAAGACACACAAAGAGGGTGTAAGGCAGGGTTTGGGAGGGGGCGTGTCCTGAGGAGAGTCCCAAGGGCCAGATTGGGCCTGAGGTTCTCCATTGCTGGTATAGAAGAAAGCACTCTGGCATTTAAAAAAGCAGTCATGAATTTCCTGACTGGAAATGTGGGAGGGAATGTGGGTAAATCAGCAACCTGAACACTGCTGACTGTCTTGTTAGTGCTTTGATTCTGATCAGCTTCCCATCTCCCTGTTCAGTAGCAGTCAGGTTTTATTGAACCTTATGCTAAAAGTGCATGTTTTTAATCATCTGAAGATTAATTCAATAAATATCTGGAGAGAGGGTAATTGTGCTTCTCCCCCCTGAAGAAACTGAGTGATCAGCTAGCAAACTTGAACATCTATCCTTATCAGCCAAATGACTGTATATTACTAGAGCCAACCTGAATGGCTTTAAAAGAGAATTAAACAAATTCATGGATGGCTGATTTCATGGCTGTGCTCTGCCTCCACAGTCATTGGCAGTATTGCTTATCAATGCCAGCTGCTGGAAGCCACAGGTGAGAAGAGTGCTCTTCTGCTCAGGTTCTGTCTTTAGACTTCACATTAAGGCATCTAGTTGGCCACTGTGAGAACATATTGCTGAACTAGACGACCATTGGCCTCATTCAGTTCTTAAAATTTTCTGAATGAAATTGATCATATAACTCCATTCCAGTCTTAAGACCTGGTTTTGCAAAAGAAACTGCCTCCATTACTCTGGAGGATGGCCTGACCTGCGCTGTGAAAAGAACAGCGGAAGTGCTATCACGTCGATTCATTTTCATCATCACCCAATAGCACTTGATACCTTCAGCCATGGTATCCTTCTGGGCCACCTGGCTGGAATGGATATACAAGCTGTCACTCTTCAGTGGCTCCGTTCCCATCTGGAAGGCTGGATCCAGGTGGTGGTGCTAGGAGACTGCTCTTCTACTCCATCACCTTTGGTCACCACAAGGTTCTGTTTTGTTTTCTATGATTGTTAACAAATACAGTGGTACCTCGGGTTACATACGCTTCAGGTTACAGACTCCGCTAACCCAGAAAGAATACCTCAGGTTAAGAACTTTGCTTCAGGATGAGAACAGAAATCATGCTCCGGCGGCACGGCAGCAGCGGGAGGCCCCATTAGCTAAAGTGGTGCTTCAGGTTAAGAACAGTTTCAGGTTAAGAACGGACCTCCGGAACAAATCAAGTACTTAACCCGAGGTACCACTGTACATTAAAATGGGTGAGGTCATCCAGAGGTTTTGGCTGAGATAGCCCCAGTGTGCAGCTGACATACAAACCTATTTATTTTGTTCCAGTATTTCAAGTTCAGGGAGGCACTAGAATTGATACTCCAATGTCTGGAGCTAGTTCAGGAATTGATAGAGTTTAACAAAGTAAAAACTTAATCCTTACTACAGGGATGAGGAAGCTGTAGCCCTCCAGCTGTTGTTCCACACACACACACACACCCGGACCCCAGCCAGAATGGCCAATGATCAGAGTTTATGGGACTTGCAATCTAGCAATTTACAGAGGAACATGTGTTCCCCACCACTGACTTACAAGGTGGAGGTACTATTAATGAAGAATGCTGGTGAACTAGGTAGGGTAGTTCAATCTCTTCTGGATGAGATCGCATTCACCCCAAAGGTGCAGGGTACCTAGCTTTGGTTCAGTACAAGATCTATTGCTTTCCTTGAAGCAGAAGTTATGGTGGTTACCAGGAGGACTTAGACTTAGATGACCTTTGATTTAGATGATCGCCATTTTCTTGAAGAAATGTTATGTTAAACATAGCATAGTTTCTTGGTCAAAAATGATGGAACCCTAATCACATAATTCTCGAGCTAGAGAAATTCAGCATAAAATTTGATTTGAGTAACAGACCAGTGATATTAACAAACAAATCTTTTAGTAGTATTATAGTATTCCACACAACGCCCAATGTGCCTGTATCAGAGATACAGAAACAAATTATTCAAAACAAACAGCAATAACTATCTAGCAAACAAGTAACAACCATTGAGGCCTTGCTTAGTCAGTATATGTTTAGCAGTCAGTGGAATGCGCAGTGGAAATGGAGGCCACAACTGTGAAATTATTTGCATGCTAATAAGTCCCCTTCTCTTTGGGAGTGTCATTTCTGTATGGCTGGTAAGAACAGTTTTAACAATATTTGGATTTTTAAAAAAATCTTCCAGAGTCTTTGTTTCTTTGTGCTTTAAGCATAGAGGTCCATTGCAAGCTGATGAGGAAGGCAGCTAAACAAAGACATTGTGTTATAGCCAACCAAGTCATCACAGAAATAGAATGACTTCCACTTGTGCAACAGAACTTCTCCTCCCTTTCTCCCCACAAACACTTCTCCAAAATCGTTCTGAAGACTTCCCTAGCCCTCCAGAAAAGATGTGGAGGGTTGTGTGGGGCACATGGGGGTAGAAGTGAGGGAGGGGAGAGTTTGTTACATGAGCAGAAAACATTGGTTGGCTTCAACCCAACATCTTTGAATTAATGATGATAAAACATTTCAGAAAAGTAAGTAGAACATTACTAGTAGTTTTTAAAAGATACACACTGCTTACCGTATTTTTTCATGTATAACACGCCCCCATGTATAAGACGACCCCTATTTCGCTACAGCCACCAAATGTCTGCACACTTGTTTCCAGAAGTCCACATGCCCACTCAATGCAATCATAGCCAATTGCATGCACACCTCACTGCTGCCGTAAATCGCCTGCCCAATTGCTGCAGCCGCAGCCAATCATCAGCAGGCCTTGCTGCAGCAACCAATCACACACCCAATCACCTCTGCCAGTCTCTTGCTGGCTGCTGCCACCAATCCCCCCTGCCCACTATCCATGTATAAGAGGACCCACCTTTTTTGCCTTTTATTTCTAAGGAAAAAATATTGTCTTATACAGGGGGAAATATGGTATATTCTCACAATCTCCATTAATCTGGAAAATTAGCCACCATTTCTTGGGGTTACCTGATACAATTTCTTTCTACTGGCAGTCTATTTGTTCCCAAAGTGGTTGTGTGCTTAGTCATGGTCTTAGAGACAATGTCCCACAAAACAACATAGACATGCATTGCATAAGAGATGAGAAGGTTTTGAGCCTTCAGGTGTTCTTGAACTCCAATTCCCATCAGCCTGCATGGCCAACATTCAGGGATGGTGAGAGATGGAGTCCTGCATCTTCTGGAGGGCTGCAGGTTCCCCCCACCCCTACCTTATATCAAATCAGATCATTTCCCTTTCTAGCTCACTGTGATTGGTATCATCTCTCTTTCTGCCTTGCAACCCTTTGCTCAGGCACAGAGCTGTGGCCCCATAAGCATGGCAGCTTGCTAAATTGAAATGTGGACCTACTACATAATGGTCTTATGATCACTCCCCCTCTGAGAGCCAAAAGGGCGGGAGGGCTCAACCGCTCACTCTTGGAGTAACTAGCACAGATTAAAATCTCCATTTCACTCATAAAAATGCATTAAGCATATGAAACAAATCCATGCAGTTATTACTGTGATTATGAGTATGCCCAGACAGTTAAAGCTGTGTTAACTCTATATTA